GCTGAAGTCATCATTTTTCAACTAGCTAAAGTCTAAGTTACAGGCTGATTCAGGTTTAAATCATTGTTACTTATAAATTATATACTTTTCTGGTATAAATCTGCTGTTTTACATGATTGTTGAATGAAATTAACATAATTATTAATTTAAAAACATGACCAATAATCTGTGAAACAGATCCAGTTCAGCTGCTGTTTATCTGTTAGTTTCTATGGAGGCTGTGAGCTGTTACCCTTTTTGGACGCCATTTTTGCTCCTCCATGCTGTCACAGACGCTACCAGTGTACAGTATGGGCGGGGCTCAGTCTAGTGATCTATATTCATGTCTATGTATAAAACTGACTTTTAAAARGAAGGTATGAATAAATATCACGCTTCATGCTTCTTTTCATTACATTACTTCTAACAGACCAGTAGGTTTGACTGTGGCTGCTGTGGCTGAGTGGGAAGTTGTCCTCCAATGCGAGACTTGGTGTTTTGATTCCACCATTATTCAAGAAGAGGTCAACCGATACTTTGGCCGGCCTATATTTGTGTTTTTTTTCTTGTTTCGGCATCGTGCGATTTGTGCATGTGTTTCCCGATCCATTAGTGCATTTATCTTGAGATCATCGCATGTAATGTTGCTCCCTCCCTGGCAGAGAGTGGCTGATAATGTTGTAAGACTGTTGTAAGTGCCAACAACAACAAGGGTAAGTTTTCCACTTTGAATGCATTATTAATTGTCTAATTTAAATGTAGCCTATCTATTTGAAAGTGTGTCGCTCTCACTGTGAGTGGAAGGTGCAGCGGTGTGTGTTTCACTCTGGCAACAGGCTGGAGAAGTCATCGGAGTGGTGTGCTTTTACTTTCTTTTGCTCTTTCACTGAATGTGTAATACACCCTTCAAATGACAAATAAGGTGACGTCATTTAAGATATCTATTAAAGATATCTTAATCTTTCTGATCTTTAACATATCAGTTCTCTCTTGAATTGTTGTTCTGACTAGCCAGACTGTAGAGATCTTAAATGACCATTCCGGTTAGTCAAATGTAGTTGTTCCTAGTCAAAACTCACTTTTAGATATTTAGAATGTAATTAAATATAGTCAGACAAAGCTAATTTTATGTTAATTGCCACAGACTGCAAAATTTTACGTGGCTGCAATGACAGACTATACATTCAGAGTGGCACATAAGCAGTGCGCAGGTACGCATACGCGGTCAAAAAAAGGATAAAGCGCACCAGATGTAACGTCATAAAGCTCCCTTGCGTACCTAAGATTATACCTGGTTAGATACGAGATGCTGGAGACAGTGTGGAAAAGACAGAGCGGGTCACTTTCATGTATTTTGGGATTGTACTTTCATGGTAACCTATTGGCAGGACGTAAAGAATGATATGGATAAGGTACTGGGGGTGAATATTCCACTTACATTTGAAGATAT